CAAAAATGGATAGCCAAACCAGAGTTAAGGACAGTGGTTCAAGAAGCTTGGGGGATACAATGCCTGAGAACACCTATGTTCCAATTCCAAGAGAAGATAAAAAAATACCAGAGTGGCCATACTAAAATGGAGTCACATCTTAAAGTCCAACAATGCCAGAAAGATAGAGAAACTAACTCTTCAGCTGGAAGAGATGAGTCAACTAAGTGAGGGTAAAAACTGGGACAGTTGGGAAAATCTGAAAAAGGAGTTAGAAGAAGCTTAATGTGCAGAAGAGCTCTTTTGGAAGCAGAAACGCAGGAATCTGTGGCTGAAAGAAAGAGATCAAAACACTAAATTCTTCCATGCATTGACCATGCAAAGAAGAAAATTAAATGCCATCACTCGACTAGTTGGTGCAAGAGGCAGAATTTGTGACTCTAAAGCTGATATTGAATCTGAAACATGCCACTTTTACAGAAGCTTGTTCTCAACTGAAGGATCTGAAGATGATGAGGGTATCATTCAACTTATTCCCATAGTTATCACTTCCTCAATCAATCATAGTCTAATTGCAATTGTTGAAGAAGAGAAAATACAAGCTGCCCAATTCAGTATGAATCCGGAGAAGGCACTTGGAGTCTCTGGTATGTCTACTCTTTTTTTCCAGCACTTTTGGCCAACCATCAAACATGATTTATGTGCTGCAGTCCTGAGTTTTTTTTAATCTTGCAAATTACTAAAATGTTGGAATCATTCTCTGATAACATTAATCCCCAAATGTACCAATCCTACCACTCTTAGTGCTTTTAGACCCATTAGTCTTTGTGAAGTGTCTTATATGTGTGTTAGTGAAAATCAGGCTGCCTATGTCCCTGGTAGGCAGCTCATGGACAATATTGTTATGGCACATGAGGTTATTCATTAGTTAAACTTGCATAGATCTGGCAGGCAAGGGTTTTTGGCTCTGAAATTAGACATGGTGAAAGCCTATGATAGGCTGGAGTGGTACTGTTTGAGGAGAGTTCTGCTGCAGTTTGGATTTCATAACATCTTTGTCAAATGGATCATGGAATGTGTTTCTTCTTCTTCCTTTTCTATTAATATGAATGGGGAACTGTGTGGTTATTTTGATGCAACTAGAGGAATCGGACAAGAGGACCCCTTGTTCCCTTATCTGTTCATATTGATCTCTAAACTACTTTATAAACTTATTAAGAGGGAGTGTGATAGAGGCAATCTCAAAGGGATTAAGTTGGCCAGAGGAGGTATGAGATTATCTCACTTGTTGTTTGTTGATGACTCTTTATTATTCTGTGGGGCTGATGATGATTCTATCTCTGTTGTGTTAAAAATTCTAAAGAGTTATCAAAAATTTTCTGGTCAGAAAGTTAATCTTATGAAATCATCAGTTTTTTTTAGCAAGAATGTCCAGGCTAATGTGCAAGTTGAGATCTGTCAGCTTCTTCAAGGGGTGCAAGTGCACAAGTCTTCAAAATATCTTGGGCTCCCCTTAGGAATAGGCAGATCCAAGAAGCAGACATTTGAGTTTGTGGTGCAGGAAGTTACAAACAAAGTCTCGAGCTGGAAAAATCAGTTCTTGTCTTCAGCTGGGAAAGAAGTTTTAATGAATTCAGTGCTGTCAGCCCTTCCAGTTTTCTCTATGTCAAGCTTTGTACTTCCTAAGTCTATTTGCCAGGAGATTACAGGTATTTGTGCCAAATTCTGGTGGAGAAATGGTGGTGTAAATGCTTCTGGAATACACTGGAAAAAATGGTCTGTTTGAACTCTTCCCAAATTATTTGGAAGCCTTGGTTTTCATGATTTACAGCTTTTTAATGAAGCTTTAATACTGAAACAGCTTTGGAGGATTGTCTCTTCACCTAATCTGTTGGTGAGTAAATATCTGAAAAGTAAATATTTTCCTTCAAGCAGCATATTTCAAGCTTTAGTGAAACAAAATGCCTCCTGGCTGTGGTCTTCATGGATGTCAGTTAGAGACAAGTATTCTAAGTGCTTTCAAATTCCAGTTAGTGATGGCCTGACCACTCACATTTGGAAAGATCCATGGGTTAGTTTAGTCCCTCTCACCAGCTCATTCATTTCTGATCCTAACAGTTCTGATATTCAGTGGGTTTGGGAGCTAATGGAGGACAGTGGCAGAAAGTGGAACACTACTCTTATCAGGCAATTATTCAGTGATGAAGTTAGTGCCAAAATTCACAATATTGACAACCTCAATCCACACAAAAGAGATAGATGGATTTGGAATAATGTTGCTAGAGGGAATTTCACAGTGGAAAAAGCTTATTCTAAGTTGGTTGAAGATAAATTCAGGGAGCTTGATGTGGCTGAAAGTAGTTCTTCTGCAAAGGTGGTGAGAAATGTTAGGAGCAGAACATGGAAACTCAATGTCAAAGGCAAACTCAAACATTTTCTTAGGAAATGTTTCTCTGAGGCCTTACCTGTCAAAACTGCACTAAGGAAAAGAGGACTATTTGTTGATGCTATCTGTCACTCATGTGGACAACACTTTGAAACTGTGAAGCACATTTTTTTTCATTGCAGGAAAGCTAAAGAAGTTTGGAAGGCATCTCCTATCTACTAGGACATTTCCATTGATCCTTCCACTAAATTTAGAACATGGTGGCAAGATGTTTGCTCTATTAACAAGCTAGAGATGTTAGAAGAAAGAATTGAGCTAACCACATATCTATTGTGGTGGCTTTGGAAAGCTAGAAATCTTTGGTTATTCAAGAAGGAATGGCTTCGAGCTCCTCTCATTGCCAATCTTGCAGTCAAAGACTGGCAGGAATTTGTCAAAAGAAGTAGCAGTTAACAGCATGAAATCCTGAAGTGGGTCTAGGTTCCTCGTGTTCAGTGGGCGCTTCAAGATTTTCAGCTAATTGTTTCGTACTTCTTTGTTATTTTTAGCTCTGTGTTCATTTGTAGTTTGGTTGCTTTTGTTTAATTATTGGATTTTGTTTGTGGAACTTGTTATGGACTGTTGGATCTGAGCTTCTTATGGTGCTAAGGGTTACAGATTAACCTCTGGCCTTAGCATGTGTATTCGGTTCAGTGTGTGTTATGTCTCTCGAGTCTCTGTATTTCTTTTAGAGCATCTGAGTGTGGATGGCTCTCTTGTATTAGAACAAGTTGGTTCTCAGGTTGTAAATGTGTACATTCAATGTTATAAATGATCTGCGGTTC